ATCGGTGCCATCTCTTTCTATTATGAATTTTGGAAAATGATGTTTTTTAATAGATGCATTAAATTTTTTATGCCAAGTGCAGGAGATCGTGTGCATAACCAAATAAGTTACAGTCATCATTTTTTTTTATTTTAATTTTCTTACTTAAATAACGAAATATCGTTTAAAAATGTTAACATAAATTATTTTTAATTACATTAAGTATAAATCTATATATATATATATATATATATATGAGGACGTTTGTTTGTTTGTTCGCTATGCACGCCTATACCGTTCGACTAATTGCTATGAAACGCAGCAGTTACGTTAAAATACTTCCAGCCTAAATAATTTCGTACATCACACCTCAGATTATCTATTGCATTTGTATGTGTCGAATAATTTTGTGTCTACATTTGATTGCTGTCTTTGCTGGTAGTGCTATCTATTTGAAAACATTAACAAAATAATTAACCAAATATAATTCCTACAAAAAAGGATATAATTTTAAAAAATGTATTTTATATTTACCGAATTACTACGATAATGATATAGCGCTAAATAGATGCGTCATTATTTTGCAGGTAGTACACAGCACTTGCCTGCCTGGAGTGTAGTAGTATTTTGCCTCCGTACTTCATACTTTTCCTGTTAGAAATAGAGTCGTGCCGGTTATGTATGTAATTTCGTTCGGAGCAAAATTTTTGAATTGAAATAATGTAACTCGCGGTACAAATCGGAAGTTTATACATTGTTAATCTGGCCCTCTTTCTCTTACGATATCCATGTCTGGTCTCGACTTTCATGTCTGGACACGACACCAGACATGAAAATCTACAGATTTGCCCTAGATTTAGGGAATTTATTTGAGTAGATATTGGAAATTTGGGGGAATTTTGAGAGAGATGTATCTCATACAGTTTTTTGTGACTTCTATTAAAATTCATTCATGATCATAAAATATTTTATGGTTTTCTTAATGTGTGATGTCTGATAACCATTAATATCGATAACATTAAAACTCCGTTAATTATTGCATCACGTATAGATTATTGTATTCTATAAATTACTATTATATTTAAACTAATATTAATTATTCTTTTGCTTCTAAATAATGATTAAAGTTACAAGTATAAGTTTTAACTTTTTATATAAGTTTTAATATATAAGTTTTTTTTTAACTCTTTCAGCCTTGTGGGAACAAAAAGAGGCTTTCTTTTTAGCGAATCCAACAGATTAAACTCTTAGAATTTTAAATGGACAACCATCCGAAAAATTCTTAGAGTTTACGACCCATCTGGACTCGTTCTCGAGTCTTCGGCAGCGGTAGATGTCACCTTAAGTACTACATTTATACAAATGGCCTGTTCTAAGATAATTTGTATAAACTTCTACCATTATGCAATCGGTAGGAAAATGTAAGAAAAACAATAAAATTTCAATCGGCAACAATAGCTTTGATGCGCCAATATCTATGTTGACCATCTAGAGAACGTCTAAAACATACTAGTTGGGTTACGTGGTATCTTCCCGAGACCAGTTTTAATTTTGAAATAGTGAAATTATCGGCATGGCATTAAAATCTACGATTATATTCTTAATTTTCGCATATTGTTTTCTTACTAATAGTGAAAATGCGGTTTATTTTCATTGATGTTCATGTATATGTAACAAGGCAAAGTATTGGAATCTTGTCAATTTTGACTTTCCGAGTTATTTGCAAATTTCCACGTTTTCAGAGCTCTAAACCCAAAAAAGTCAAAAAAGGAAAAAATCCATTTGTGGTTGTGTAATGCGAATTCCTGTTTGAACTTTCTAAAACATTAGAATAAATGAATTCACTTCACATCTGAAAATTTCATTTTTATAATTCTGTTTATTAGAAAATAGATAAATTTGAATTTTTAAAGTGAAATAATTCACCTTGATTAATGTTATAACGTAACACGTCAGGCCATTGTCGAAAGTAACCAATTGTTACAATGATAGTTGTATAATGGGCACACTCAGGAAGTCACTTCCTGAGTGTTTGTGCCCATTATCATTGGTGTGATAAGCCCTTACTATTATTTGCCTCACGGTTATAGATATTTAAATTAATTTAATTATACCTAGGGCTAAAAGCAGTTTCTGTAATAATTTTGCACAAGTGATGTAATCACGTATGGAGTTGCATTCTTTTCAACTTTCAGCGGAACTCTGACACAACCACTTCCTTGTGGTGAGTTGTGGGTTGCTATTCGTTTGGAAATAACGAAGGGCAAGTGAAGAGTTGCGTGTTTTCGTTTATTTTATTATTATAAGATGAGATGAAAATAAACCTATATACTTAAGAATAACAGAAGTAAAAACTAGTTATTGTCCCTGTACATCGTCGTTTTTCTGTTAACAATAAAATTAAATTGAATGCCGGCCATCTATGTAAATAAATGACCAACATTCAGTGGAAAAGATTTGAATTGAAGTAACCTGATTTTGGAACTTCATATATAGTTAATGGCGCATCATTTCCCAAAGCTTTCCATATCTGCTTTCGACTTTCATGTATCTAATTCTAGAAATTAAAGGACGCACAAGCAGACGTATACCAGAGGGGATTTATATGTATATTTAAATCACGATTATGGATTTTGAATCTACTCCATTTAGCTTTATGGCAACAAATAACTTGTTAATATCAACTTACTACATAATTTATTTGTATGGTTATACTTGCAACATAAAATAAATAATTATAGAATGAATTACCTTTCTAACTAATTCCACGTGTTGTGGTTGTATGGACCACCGGTGGTCCGTCGACCATTGTATGCGAGAAAATTTGGGTAATCCGTGGAGAAATTTGGACATTGATCAACTGAAGGTTACGCGAAGTATCACGAAAGAAATGCAAAATGCTTAGTTGCTTTCTTTCACTCATTGGAATTTTTTTTATTCGAATTTAAAATCAAATACAAAGTAACTGTTATCAATAAATAATGAACAATAAACAATATTGTGAGTGCTATTGTCGTTCTTCGTGGAAAAGCGCTAAGAATCCATAAACTTATTTCAAACAAGCAACAACGAACTTTAGGCTTGCATTAATTTGATATAATTGAACAAGCAAGTTTCATTTTAATATAGTAAAATGGAACTTTTATGATCATTATTATACAGATTTTGTACCGTTTTAAAAAATTTATGATAGTGGTCCGCGAGATTCAAAATTGTGAGTTTAGTGGTCCGTGAGGTCAGAAAGGTTGCAGACTGCTGGTATAGAGAATTATAATTACTGCACGGTAAATTATTATAATTTTAACGGTCGATTTATTAAATTAATATCGAAAAATTGTTTACCACATGAAGCGCGTTGTTCCCACCAAATACACCCTACATGTAGGCAAACGTTTAATAACCATGACGATGTAATGGTGTTATACTTGGTTTATGTACGTGTCAATAAATCATAGAAATTAATTTTTAAGACTCTTCAACACGATCCTTCGCATTGTCATTGCTGTTCAGTGATAATCCGACAAGACATACAGAACGTGTAGAAAAAGACTACGATCTACACAAGGGGTAGTCAGGAGTACACGACTATAAGTTTGAGGACGACATTATTACAAAAGTCATGAAATACTGAATCAATTTTAACCAATAAATAAATGTATACTGTATTTATATATATTATATAATACAATTTTCATCCAGCAACGCATCGAATATCATTCTCAACCGTTAAAAATGTTATTTAAAAAAATAACTTTTATATCCTTAATCATAATACAGTGGAACCCCGGTTAACAAACGTAATCCGTTCCACGGGTCCGTTCGTTAACCGAAGCAATTTTTTCCATAGAAATTAATACAAATACAATTAATCCGTTCTAGGCGTCAGTATTTTTGTAATTTTATTTGTAAAATGGGTTTTCTTTGAAGAAAATATAAGAAAACGCAGTATCTATCATTACAGCAACAAATATGTAAACTTTATTTAAATTAATAAAGTAACACTATACAGTACATACCTTTGTTTCTACAGAGCTTAATGCTTGGAAGAGGAATCCCCTCCATAAAAATATCGGGTAGCACTGCATCGGGAGTTTCTTCGAGTCGAGGTCTCTTTTGATAAGGAACAATAAAGTGGTCTAAAGTTGATTGTCTTACTCTCTTAATCAAAATTTTTCTAAAATGCAGTGTCGTTCATTAAATTAATGACCCTATTAGTCACAACTTTGTTTGGTGCTTCTCGATAAATTTCTGCACATCATTCCATTTTCTGCAAATTTTCTGCAAATTTCGATCTCAGCACTGGTGATTTCTTCCCTAGCCTTCTTTCTTCTTCTGACGAATGCTTTTCTTGTAAGACTTTCATCTGTTCTTCCTGCATGGCAACCAGCTCTTCTGTCGTTAGTTCATTTTGATGGTCTTTCACAGTGGCGTAGCATGGGTGTCAGTCGCCCGGGGCGGAGGAAAATTTAGCCGCCCCCTTATTTAGATATCTCAATTTAAAAGACTAAAATTCAGTTTCGTCACAGAATAAGTAATGAAAAATTCCGTACTAGTGTTGCCACCTTTTAAAATCGCCGACCCGGACGGCAAGTGAGGTTTGTTCGGACAGAAGTTCCTGACGCATGCGTATATCATTTTGCAATGAAGAATAATTTGCAGTGCATGCTGGTTCTAAATCAGTTACAGTTAGCGACTAGGGAGACTTGTGTAGGAGTAACGTAAGTAATCTAGATGACTTAGCCCTATTGGATATTGGAGGTGTATATGAGTACGAATGAATCGTACAAGCAGAAAAAAAGAGAAAAGGTCGACAGGTTGTGCATATCCCCGGCCGGCGAGTCGGATGATAACACTATTCCCACTATTCCGTGCTCATTTCAATCGGTCCAAATGGTAGGTGGACGAAAATATGAAATAAAATGGTTCAAATTCTTACAAGATTTTATTATTATTTATTGTCAAATCTTGCCGCCCCTAAAAAGTGCCGGGCGGGCCGCTCCTGCCGACCCCCCTACGCTACGCTACTGGTCTTTCAGCAATTCCTCCACGTCTGCATCATCTACCTCTACTCTCAAACTCTTGCCAATGGACACGATTTCATGCACTACATCAGGAGAGCTCTCTTCTTCAAATTCCTTAAAGTTTCGCTCTGGGACACAAGTTGGCCAAAGTTTCCTCCAGGGCGATTGCAAAGTGCGGTGAGAGACCTCACTCCAGGCTTTGTCAATAAGGTTGATACAATGCAGGATGTTAAAATGCTCCTTCCAAAAAGTTCTAAGATTTAAGTCGGTATCATTGGTAACCTGAAAACACACAGTAAACAGTGACTTGGTATACAGCTTTTTAAAATTGGAAATCACTTGCTGATCCATTGGTTGCAGTAATGGAGTTGTGTTGGGTGGAAAGAATTTGACCTTGACGAAGTCATGTTCACTATCCAAGTCGTCCTCCAAATTTGGTGGATGTGCTGGAGCATTATCCATCAAGAGAAGACATAAGAGGAAGATCCATTTCCTGAAGATAATTTTTAATAGTAGGAGCAAACACTTCTGTGAGCCAATCCATGAATAAAGTCCGAGTTACCCATGCTTACTATTTGCCTTCCATTGTATAGGCAGTTTGGACTTTATCACATTTTTGCTCTTAAAGACACGGATATTTTCGGCGCTGTAGACTAAAAGAGGCTTGATTTTGAGATCACCACGTGCATTAGCGCAAAATAAAAGAGTGAGTCTGTCCTTCATGGGCCCGGAAAGTGCTTTCTCTTCTTGGGTTATGTACGTTCGTCTAGGCATTCTTTTCCAAAAAAGACCGGTCTCATCGCAATTAAACACTTGATTCCAGACGTATCCTTCACTTTTTACAAACTCTGCGAATTCATCTACAAATGCTTTTGTTGCTTTTTCATTTGAACTTGAAGCCTCCCCGTGTCTTATGACACTGTGAATGCCAGTTCGTCGACGAAACTTATCAAACCACCCTCGTCTCGCTTTAAAGTCCTGCCTATCTGCACTTGGACTGGGTGTCTGGATCAACAAGTCATTGTATAAATTTTTAGCTTTTTCACAAATTATAGCTTCACTAACACTGTCTCCAGCAAGTTGCTTTTCATTGATCCATATTAGCAATAGTTTTTCAACTTTATCTAAAACTTTAGATCTTTGTTTCGATATCACATTCACTCCTTTAGCCACTTCGGCAGTCTTAAATGCTTTTTTGTTTTTAATAATTGTAGAGATAGTCGATTTTGCCACATTATATTCTTTAGCGATGTCAGAAACACGAATGCCATTCTCATATTTTGCAATAATTACTTTCTTTAATGCTACACTAAAACGTTTTGTATTTTCACTGTCACTTTTTTCTTTTTTCGGTACCATATTGATTAAATATACATTGCTTACCTCGCGCTCTTAGGCGTGCGCGAGGTAAGCAATGCTTACCTCGCGCACGCCTAAGAGCAACTGAAATTTGTGAGGTTCCAGAACGGCTGGAAACTATT